TATGCAACAATTCTTTTGCTTTGGACTCTGTATATGTAAAGTTGTATCAGGGAAATTTCCAAAATAGATGTTTTATTTTTATATGACACGAGGAGGAAAACCTACTCACCTCAACGTGTAGAACAAATTCTGCCCAGTTTGCACCATCTGTGACCGCTAAGCATATGTCATCCTGAAGAATCTCAGATCCATCATGTTGATACCTGTGGGGAGAATATTTGTGACTAATCTTTCAAGAACACTGTGAGAGTAGACTGAGATGAGGCCCGACACCAGAGCTATTCCACAGATTTGCACATGTTCACTAAAACTCATTAGTTAGTAAGAAAAAATAGCATAATCAAGTGTCATATTTAACTACACAAATAACCCTCAAGGTAAAATTGCTCCACCCTGGGAAAATGTGTGGTGTATGTTGGTGATTTGTCCCCAAATCAAAAAGCAGCAGGTCAGACATCCTGTGACAATGAGAAGCATTCCGTGCAGCTCTGCTTGCTTAAAGACTTGCTAGGTCCAGAGAGACCCAGAATGCAGCAAGAGTGGGAAAAGTGGATGCTGTGCAGATCTGATGAATCTCTCTCCTGTCTTCAGAGCTAATTTTCTGCCCATACTCTAGAGCTACGCGGCTCTTCTCTAAGCCTTGACTTGTGAAGTACATGCCGCTTCCCCACTGTCATTTCCCCTCTTTCCACGTGCTAGCTCTCTTCCGCTCAACCTAAGAGATCTTGATCTCTCTCTGATTTAAAAATACCCTTCCTTGGTCCAGCCTTGGCCCTGTCTTCTCTCAGTTCTCAGCCAAGTCTCTTAAAGGAATTGCTGACCGCTAGGCTTCCCCTGGACTTTCCAGCCCACTGCAGAGATGCCCAGTAGGTGCTAAATAGCTATTGTACTGATTGAGCCAAATTTTCAATAATCCGTCCCACACACTAAGGAATGGAAATAAATCCTAGAAATTAAAAATAAAAGCTGCATTAAATTGAGTACAGAGTATTGAACACCTAAGGTATTGATCAATGAAGAAAAATCAAGACTACATTTTACTTGGGATTTGTCTTCACCGATAGGCTAAGTAGGCACTCGGGTATGGGGTTCTGCTCCATGTGTGGGAACCCCTGGCTTCTCACACACAGCCTCCTATGGTCTGCTGTGCTACACACCCTGCTGTTTTCATCAAAGACAGACTGAGGAGTGAAAATGTGCTAATCCTATTTTACTATATTAATATCCCTAAACGGTCAAGTGGAACTAAGAGCACACATCCAAAAGCAGGGCTGCAAAATCAATGAGATCTTCATTCAAAACCTGACCTTTTCATGTGGAACTAAGTAACCCTGGGAGATCCTGTGGGCTCAGTTTTTTTTTTTTCCTAACTTGGAATCGAACTCAGGACCTCATGCTTGCCAGGCAGGCACTTATGCCACTAAGCTATATCTCCAGCCCCTTAGTTTTGTTTTTTTTTTGTTTTTTTTTTTTTTTTTTTGCAGAACCGGGGATTGAACTCAGGCCCTTGCGCTTGCCAGAGAAGCGCTTATTCCACTGAGCTATCTCCCCGGCTCCTCCAGCCCCTTAGTTTTTAACTATAATATGAAAACAGAATCCTCATCTTTGTCACATTTGATTACTATGAAAAATAAATAAAATTAACTGCAAATTAATTGGAGTGTTTTTACATACAGTCTTAGCAAGTCTTAGTACTTTTTTCCCATCTATCATTCACTCTCTAGTATGAAATGCCTAAAGAAGTCTCTGTCTTCACAGGAAACTAAGACCTGACAGCTCAAAATGAAAGGGAAGAGAAAAGGGAGATATTAGAGTAGAAATAGATATGTAGTCAAAAAAGGTCAAGAATTGGGGAACTGTAAATGAAGAACATAACCAAACTATCAGGACTAAACCTATCTTCTTGTGTTACACCTAATACTTTTTACTACGATTTTCAAAAGGGTCAAGATTTCAACTTACAATTTGAATTTATAAGTGAAAAATTAGATTGTCTGTCTACTTGATCATTCTTTTTAGTAGTTTGCATTGTTTTTCAGGGATGTTTTACTAAATTTGTAGAAAACTGTCTTGCAGAACTGTACTAGGTACAGGAAATTTAAAACCATAAGGGAAGAAGAACTACATAGGACCACAAGGCAGAGGTTTCTCACCCCTGGCTCTTAGAGTCTGAGCAGTACTCTAAGTCTTCTCTACCCAATCATGCTACTGGTTCACTGCACATTCTTACCTCCACAGCGTGGAATAACATTAGGTGGCCCTAATGACATTGATCAATAAAACTCTATCTCAGAGTTTCCAGAGTTATGCAGTTGGCTATCCTTAGACCTCAGAGTTCAATGATGTATATTAGCCTCATGGATTAGTTCAGTCTATATTCATCTTGTTTGATTGTTACCCCCTGTGATATGTGAAACTGAATATTCATAGCAATTAATTTTTGTGGTTCAGATATCCACAGAGCATCCCCACTGGCACAACAAGCCCGAGGAAAAGCAACTGTCTAAAGGAAAAGAAGAACATCATTTTTAGTTTTCAGTTTGCTCAGAAATCAGTAAATGACATGTTGGTATCCCTAAAAGAACTGCACAAATGTCTTTTTCCCTACCCCACCTCATGATTGGGACAGATGGGGTGCCAAGGTATGTAAAGAAAAAGCCATGAAGTATTCTAACCTAACTTTTAAGGAATGGAGGTCTTCCCAAGAAAATGTATCCCCAGTGCTTAGAGGGGATCCGTTGAGCTCTACCCTCCCGTGCAGAGGCAGCCCCCGCAGGGAAAGCTGAATGCCGTCCAGCGCAGTGTCCATGTCAGAGACCCGGATGTGCTCTGTGCTGATGGTGCACTGCTCTCCTTCGGCCACTCTCAGGATGTTGGTGAGAACCTGAAGAGCAGGAGGGAAAGGTTCAAGGGTCGCTCCCGAGGAATCCTGGACTTCAATAACCACTAAGACACTGTCAATACTGTCTCCACAGAGCAAGTACTTTGTGCTTAAGAGAGAAGTTCATAGCTACACAATTCACCCCAAACAGTTTTTATAAGTATCTTCAATTCTAAGCATTAACACACATAAGTGAGGCAAATTCATAAAGCAGAAAGATGCAACATTTCATTTGCCCAGAACCTGTAGAATAGAATCAGACATCAAGTCAGTAACCATCTGCAGTGCTGAACTGAGGGAATGATAACTTCTGTCATCTTGTCTGTTCTCATCTCTGTTTAAGACAATATACTTTAACCTACAATACAAATAAAACTATGACAAACTCCCCTGAAAAATGGACCTCCCTCAATATTCTTAAAGACTGAGGTAGTCCATGAGAGTTTCAACTGTGGTTTTGGGGGATGGAACTAAAATAGGGAAACTGAAGATTAGAAGTGTAAGATTAAATAGGAAATAAATTTAGACAACACTAAGCTTATAATCATGAGGATAGTAATAGGAAAGTCCAGTGTTGAGCTTATAATTCCTTGGTGAGTCAGAAGCAAATCCAAGTGCTTTGGGCTATTTTGTCACCACACAAGAAGCAGGCATTAAAGTTCTGTGATCAAATAAGTCTAAAACATGGTTATATGCAACAACCTTATCTTGGAAACTTAGAGGACACACATGCATATTCTAGACTGTGAGACATTTAGTAGGGAAATCTGTTCATTTTGTGTGCATTGGCCCAAACTGGCATAGCTACACAGAAGCCAAAGCCAGCAGGGTACCAGGTCACACCCTAGGGTCTCCCCCAGATGACCCGGAGTCAGCATCCTACAGAGGTGAGGACACTGTGTTCTTCTCCTCCAAAACACCTGCTGTCCTGGGTGTGACTGCCTCTGGGAAAGGAGGCCGCACCCTGGAGATGGAGTTGGTAGAAGGGACCAGCAAGGTAGGAGTGGCACCCCCGGGCAGAGGATCAGGAACAAAGCATGATGCCTCTGCAGCCCCCACTCCAGAGGCTGCACTTCTCTCGGCCCTCAGGGGCACAAGGTGAGGAGAATGAGAGAATGCAATTCTGAGGCTCAAGCCTTCTATTCTTTAATAAGCTGTCGCCAAAGTGGGGAAACAGAAAGGACCACTTTCTTCCCTGTGCTCGCCGCACTTGCTGCCTCTCGGGTCATCTCTTTCTCTGCCGAGGGAGGAAGGAGGAAGCCAAGCTCCTGGCAGAGAGCATCGAAGTCCACATTGGCCAGCACTGTCAGTGATGCACAATAAGTATCCTAAGATGGGACTGTTTCACAAAACATGCTTCACTACCTTCAGTGATTTTTCATTTTTATTTTTATTTTCTTAAGAGTATTTGGTTGTTGCAGGGTCTCACTACACAGCTCAGACTTGAGGTAATCCTCTTGCTTTCAGGCTCCCCAGCGCTGAGATTACAGGTGTGCGCCACCATGGCTCTGTGCCCCTGGGGGTGGGGCTGGTGTGGCATGTGGTGCCCAGGATTGAACCACAGTCCCTGAGCTTGCCTAAGCTTTCCTAAGCAGTTGCTTTAGTCCACTGAGCTATCTCACTGGCCCCTTTGGTGATTTTTAAATTTCACTTTTAGAGCAAGTTTCAAACAACAGAAAGCATATGGCTGATTCCCCCAGTTATTCATTAACTATTCAGCCCCAGGCCTCAGGTCCACAGGCCTTCAGGGGAGCACGCCCAAACACCTCCATAAATGGCTACCACTCAGCCCACCTCTCTGTGGGTATTTCACATTGTGGAACTGTTCTGTGGCTTGTTTCACTGAAGCCACTAATTTAATTTTATTTCTAACAGTTTGGTCCTTTGTAGTATTGTTTCATTTGCCCCTGCACTTTAAACAGAAGAGAAAAGCCAGAAGGCTGCTTCAGCCCCAAGTCTTCTCAGTTATTCTGTCTGCCCTCAAGTGAAGCAAGCTCTAACCTTTGTCATTTCCTGGCCAAATCACCCTCCTCTAGCAAGAGGCTTGGGCTGCTTTGGATAAAATATTTCTCCATGGAAAGAGCTTTGGCTTCTTTAGATACAAGGCTATTCAAGGTCAGAATCTCATACACAGAACAGGATGGTCTGACTAAAATCTAATCCAATTAATTCTAGAGGTATCTTAATCCATTTCCCCATAGGAAATACAACCTGATCTCTAATAGAAACAGTTGTCAGTGAATGGAACCAACTTAGATTTCTCGCTGTGAGCTCTTTGAGGCATCTTCTACCATAGAGTTCACAAGCTCCCCAGCATGTGGATCAGTGGACAACACAAAGGAGTGTGGTGAGCTGGTAGGGACTTCGGGGTTCAAACAGGCCCAACTCATGGCTTCATGGGCTACACAGACTCTGCATTGTTAGGATTTCCACATTTTCAAGACAACCCAAAGTCAAGCTTGATAGGACATCTCTTCAACCTTAACCAATGGCAGTCTGTTGTTTTACAATAGCGTTTAGACCATTCAGATCACTGTGTCTACTCCGAAAGCCCTGGGACCCTCAAATAAACTCTCTGTTCCACAGTCCAAGGCAAGTGGAAGTATGGTGAAAAATAACCAGGAAAGAACTCAAGGTGTGGCTATGTTTCAGGTCTGTACCTAGAGAAGGTGACCTTGTTTCTTAGGCTGAGGGGTCTTGTAGGCTCAAGGCCTTTCTGGTTCATATAGAATAGGGTGTTTTTGTGTGTCTTTACACTTCTGAGAGGAAAATGAGCCCACTAATAGCCAATGTAGAACACTCTGTAAGGGGGACTGGGCAGCATCAGAACTATCAGTATGAATCTTGGCCTCAGAAAAAAGACACAAGCTAGTACCTAGCATCTTCACAGTTTGGCTTTAATGAAAGACTCAAGTCCTTTAAGATTTACATGAACAGTGGGTAGTAGGACCGAGAAGGGCAAAAGTGTCCATCTTAAATCATCTTGGGAATTAAAGAGCTGTTTTGGATCACATAGTAACATGGTTGGAGAACAGACAAGCCCTTCTGGTTGCTAAGAGACCTCTCCATTTAATCCTCTTCCTCTGATCAACATGGGAAGCCCAGCAGAAATGAAAGGAAATGAAAGAGGTTTTGACAAAGCTTTGAAAATAATGCCAAGTTCGCAAGAGGGAAAAAAAATCTCACTCTTTAACTAGAAGTCTCATGGGAGGTGAAGAAGTCCCTCCCCTCAATCCTGTTTTCCTGCACAGTGTAGCATCTGACAGGTGATGCCGCTGCCAGCAGGCAGGGTAGGAAACCAGAAGAACAAAGCCACGTCCACCTCCACTGTCCATGCCTCCCATGCGGAGAAACAAAACCATACTCTCTGCCCCCAAGTTCCCCAAGGCAGCAACTCCCCCCTCCCCTTTATGTCCTTCATTCCACCTTTGCTTCCTGCTGATTTCATGTCTGACCTCAGCCCTCTCCCTCAGGAGTGAATAAGCAGCCATGGTTGCTTACACAGAGCTTTCTCAGGGGGCACCCTCTCCCCTCTCCATACCTTTAACACACACCCACTGGAAAATTTGAAGAGTTCTTTCTTCTTTCCCTTCTTGTCATCCTCCATATCAAAACTTGTACATACCTCGGGAACCTGATTGTTCACTGGGAGAACTGTAATGTTGAAACAGATTCCATGCACAGTGCCGCCGCGCTGGTTGCTGATGGAAAATGTGACCTGCACCTGCTGAGGGTAGGGGCCTATGTCTTCCATGGGTGGCATGTAGGCCACCTTCAGATAGTTCACAGCGTGCTGCAAAAGCAGATCAGGAGGGGCGTGTGAATGCTGACTTGCCAGTATCAGCAGCTTTCAGAAACCTAGGTCCAAGAGAACCGTCATGTGGACCAATAATTAACCTTGCAAGTGCCACCCTCGTCAATTTCAAGATTTCCAAAAGTATTTTATGAATCACGTATTCTACTTACAAGAAAGAAAAAGGATAAGGAAATTAAGTTGATACATTGCAAGGGAAGGAGGCATATACCTGTAATCCTAGTACCCTGGGAAGCTGAGGCAGGAGGTCCAAGTTCAAGCCCAGCCAAAGCAACCTGGCAACTTATTGAGATCCTGTCTCTAAATAAAACATTTTAAGTGATCAGGATGTATTTCAGTACAAAATCCCTGGGCTGAATCCTCAGTATTGCAGAGAGATAAAAAAGTAAATATGTCAAGTGTTTGAAGACAGCCAACTGTATGAATACAAGAGACGTGTATTTCAACCCAGTTCTGCCATGCACAGCTATGTGATGCTGGTCAAGCGGCTTAAACTTGTCAGGCCTCTGTTTATAAAGTGAGTAAGATAACAGTAGTTACCACTTGGGCTTGACATCCTCATTTACAATCTCTACCTATGGAGATATGAGCATAACTAGCCCCAAGCCACAGCCTAAACATTCAGCATCATTTCTGGGACTCCCACAAAGCCTGAAAAGCAGAACCCACTGGAGTAGGTAGAGAGTGAAGGATTTTAGAAGGCAGTGAATGGCATAAGTTGTGTCCCCCAGAAAAGACATGGTGAAGTCCTGGCCCTTAGTACCTAAGAAGGTGGCCCTGTTTAGAAGCAGAGTCCTTACAGGCGTAACTGCTTGAGGCAAAGTCATGCCGGGGTAGGATGGTCCATAACCAACACGTATTTGGTAAACTTCTAACAAAAGGACAGAGACACACAGATTGCCCTGCAGAGCTGCACTGTCCTGAATGTGCACAAGCCTAGGAATGCCGAAGGTCTTTGGGAAACTGCCAGAAGCTAGAAGAAGCACAGAGTTGCACCACAGCGTTTCAGAAGGAGCACGACCCTGCAACACTAAAACTATCACTTCAGACTCCTAACCTCCATAGCTATGAGAGAATAGGCCTCACACAGGGGCACTTCTTTATGGTGGCCCCAGGAGATACTGTAGATTACTGCACAAACTGAATTCAGTGGAATAAAAACATAAGCACGGAGGCTCCAAATCAGAGCCCTGCTGCTGGTAAAACAATGCAAAAAGCTGTGTTGAATTACAATAAGATTTTGACATTTCATCCAACTTGATAAAACAACTTCAAATAGATACCAAATGCTGGTGTGAAGTGTGCAAGCAGAAAGAATAAAGACATCAAGCAGTTCTGGTAGATGTCAACGGGCAATATTATCAGGGAAATGTTAGCCCTTTCTCCTCAGAAGGTACTTGCATCACGTTTGTCAATGTTCTAGCAAATCATCATACCTGAGTAAATGACCTCAGTCCCAAGGCTGCGGGATTTTTAGTTAGCTTTGGTATGCTGTCTGCCAGGAATAGCTTGCCAGCATCCAGATACCTAAAGAGAAATACAGGAGAACACATCAGCTAATTTCCTAGCTAAGAAAAATTAAATCAAATAGCTCATAAGCAAAACTGCAAAAACTAAAAGGCCTCATTGTGAGAGGGAATTAGATGTCCCATCCTTAAATTCTCTTTTCATGCTGGGGGCTCCTAGGATTTCTCAGTCAATTCTGTCTCTATTATGACTGCAGAAATTATGTCCAAAATTTTTGTCATCATGAAAGGGAATCATAATCCTAAAAATGTTCCCTTGTTATTCTGTACATGAGACTAGTCTGAGATAGTCCTTTCACCTTCCTGGAACAAAAGCATACATTATGCCTATTTTGTGGCATAATATAAATATCTAAAAATAATTTCATGGAGAACACTATATATATATATATATATATATATATATATATATACACACACACACACATATATATATGTATATACATGTATACATATATATATTCTCCTTTTAAAAATAGAAATTAAAACTGTTTTTAGCCTACCTATGTTGAAAATATTACAAGCTACAGATTGCTAATTAATACAACTTTTGAAGGAAGGTATGAGAGAATTTGAGATGAAGTAAATGCTGAATTTATGTAAGTTCATGTCTGGCCACCGAAAAAACTGAATTATAGTGCTATGGGCACACATGATGGGCTGCAAGATGACATTGCAGAGATACCTGTGCCTGAAGCAGAAAGATGGAGGAGTTGTCACTGTGTACAGCAGTTCCCCATCATATGATTCTGTGTCTACGAAATGTAGATGCTTCTTAGTGATGTAGGACACCTCTGTTTCCTTGACAACCAAATGTCGAGAAACTCCAGGCGCCTCCTGTGGAAGCTGGTCATCCACAGGAGTGACTTGGATCATCACTACCTGGAGTAAAGATATCCATATTGTTCATTTCAAATACCAAGAGATCACCAAAGAGAAAGCCCTACCACCACCCCACTATCATTAATGTAGTTTTCAACACCTGCCATTGATAACATACTTCTGTCAAATGATCCAGGAACTATTAAGAGTGTTACTCAAAAGTGGAACATCCTTCACACACACTGGGTGTCATTTTGAGAATATAATTATCACAACCACAGCTTATTCCCTTCATCAGTGAGCAAATCAAATACAAAGTATGTTCTGGTTTTCTTTTATTCCAAGCTCCCTCTCCAACAGCAGTGCTTCGATATTTCCCTGTCTCATCATCTGTCCTAGAGTGTTGACAAAACCCCTGCTTCCTCCTTCCCTGCTCATGCAAGTTCCATCACCAAGAACCCATCACCAAGTTCCTACTGTAGAGCCCCTTCCAAAGAGACCATGCCAGTCTTCAGACTCATTCTTGCTGCCCCTTGTCCAGCTCTCATATGCTCTTCTGACACAATTACAACAGCTGTAATTGTGTAATTACATAAGCTCTAAGTCCAATTGCTGATCTAGACTTTTCTACTTCTAGTGCTACCTATAAAAAGTACAAATCAAGTTAATGAACCACCTCAAAAATCTTAACCATCCCTAGTGGGACCGAGGAGATGGCTCAGTGGAATAAGCACTTCCCTGGCAAGCGCAAGGGCCTGAGTTCAATCCCTGGTTCCCCCCCACCAAAAAAAAAATCTTAACCAGTGCAGATGGTACAGAATTACTCTAGCTCCTTAGTGTGACATCCAAGATCCTTCAGAGGTGAGACATATGCTGTATGTCAACTTTAATTTGCTTTACTTTATTCCAACATCAACCGGACACTCTAGCAGCACACTACATCATGGCCCTCAAGGATTCTCCTGTGCTTTGTATCATACTGTCTGTTCCATCTAGAATGTTTTTCTCTCGCTTTCTCTGCAGGTCTTTCTCACCCTTAGAGGTTCTAACCTTTGAAACATGCTCCAAATGTTCAGAATTGCTTCTGAATTTTGTTTATCTCTTACTATAGTTGGAATATTTGTCTAGATTCATGTTGAAGCTTAATTCTCAGTGCAAAGTATTAAGTAGTGGAGCTTTTAAAAGGCGATGAGTGTCTTATAAAAGGGCCGGGGGCAGGGCCTTGTACTCATATCCTCCTGCCTTTGAGGACACCATACTGACCCCTTTCAGACAGTGCAGCAAGAAGCACCACCCTGGAAGCCACCAAGACCCCCCATGTCTGGGCCTGGACACGGCCTTCAAAGCTGTGAGAAGTGTTAGCTATAAATTACCCATCCTCAGGTATTACTCTAGAACCGGATGAATGGACCAGGACATCTCCAGAACCACATACTTATTTCATCATCTTGTCTTACCTTACATGCCGATCTTTCTCATAGACTGAAAGCTCCATAAGGACAGACAGATAGTAACATGTAAGAAGACATGGGGAATTTGAGGGTAAACAGCTCAAATCTTGAAGTATACCATTTATGTACTAGCAGCTATTTTACCTTGAGCAAATTGCTCAACTTTTTTGGTGGCAATTTTCTTTTTATAAAGAAAAATAATAACTTCTTTAAAAATTTAAAAAATAAAAACAATACAGGATTTCAAAACAAGATGTTAGGAAATTAACAATGTTTGTGATATTGCATATTGTCATCTTCAAAGTAGTTAAGTGAAGCATAATATTAGCAAACACAAGTCTATAGAAATCAAATATTACTATGTAGATAAAATGTCTGGCACTTAGTCCTTGTTGCTGACTAAATTAGCCAACATCCTGTGTGTGATTTTAAGCTGGTTTGGATCACACTCCATAATAAGAAGGATTAGCAAAATAGGCTCTATCATGACATTATTTCTTTAGAGTAATTCATGGTGGGTCTACAAGGAGGCTAACCCTCCCTCTCTCTGGAAATGGCATACTGTGTGGCATCGCAAGCCTTTGCACAGCCTGCCATAGGAAAGGATTCCTGTGCCGGCTTTGATTTATTTCACTGCTATCACCAAAGCACAGGTCAGTAATGACAGTTTTGTCTACAATACTGTTCACAATACCCAACTTGAAAATGAAGGGAATTACTTTGGAAATTGATATGTAAAACTGGGACTAAACGGAAGCTTTTGCTATGATATGAAGAAAAAAAACAAAAAATAGGCTGGGCATAGTGGTGTACACCTGTGATTCCAGCATCAGGAGGCTAAGATAGGAGAATCACTGGGAGTTCAAGGCCAGCCTGAACTGCATAGTGAAACCCTGTCCAAAAAAAAAAAAAACCCTAAGAAAGCACTCAATAACCTATAAACCATGCTCCTTGAGGGGAATGATTTCATTCCTTTGGGGCTCAGTATTTTTCCTGAATAACAGTGGCTCTTTTAATGAATACTATCACATTGTCATGACAAAACAAGATAGCAGTAAGGCGAGTATCTAATACTTAGTAGGTGCTCCGTAAATTAAATCCTTGTCTTTATCCTTCCATTGCTTTTACAAAAGCACACTTACTAGTCTTTATGAAGCATTTCAATAATTAAAAATTACAGCTAGTTATCAAAAATAAAGGAGTACAACAACAGCCATTTTTTTTAGTCTCTGGGAATGTGTGTCATGGTTTTTTTCCCCAATCACTGTGTTTTGCTAATCTACAAAGTTCAGAAATCTCTATGGGACCTTCTACCATAGTGTAGATCAGTAAGTCTCTACTTAATTGAAAAACTGGATTTAATAAAGAAACAATAGTTATTGTATCTTCAAAGAGACCATTTGCCATGCTAATTTATTCTCTAAAGTGTTCTTTGTGGAAAAAGAATACACAAGCATGTTTTTTATACTCCTGTTGTAATTCTTGGTGGGCACATTTTTGAACATGTTTTATGACTGCCTCAGTTGATGTGACTTTACATATTTATGCATGTTCAAACAATTATTTTGTCTCTGTCTATAGATAAGAAAAATCCTACTTTAACAAACTCCACTGAGAAATAAGGCACTCTCACTGTGCTGAGACCTGCTTACAACAAAGACATTATTAAACATATCTTCCCAGGCAAAGCGGAAACAACTGGGGCCGGGACAATCCCTAGGCTCTCCCCTCTGGTCTACTTACGGCTACTTGCAAAGTGTACACAGGCATACTTGCAAAAAATCAGAACGTAAGATGAGAAAGCAGTCTAGAAAATGACACCTCCACCTTGCCTCTCGGACTCAGGCTCCAGTATGCCCCTCCATCTGCTGTAATACGGCCTTCTTAGAGGCCTCAATTCTTTCTCCTTTCCCTGCCCTGAGCTCTGATTCCTGCCTGCTATTTATTTTACTTCTTTCCTTGAAAGTATCCAAATTTTTTATCCACAGGAACCACTTCCAAAGTCAGTTTCCCCCACCAATTACTGTATTAGGCATAGTAATTTAAGATAATAAACTAAACATACCTTGGACAAGACAACTTTAAAAAAACAGATGAGATGCAGACACGGAGGTAGATTCATACACAAACCTGAGCTAGAAAAATTCAGTCTTAAAAAAAAAAAAAGAAAAACTCAGTCTTCCCTTGGGAGTATGCTCTAGGGCCGGTCGTGAGTACTAACTCTAGAGTTGTTCAAGGGCCTTACACAAAGTGGTATTTGCAATAACCTATATACATCCTCTTGCACACTTTAAATCATCTCTACATTGTTTATCATATCTAATATACAATATAAATGCTACATATACAGTGGTCATACCATACTGTTTCAGAAATCATGATATGAAAACTAGTCTATGCAGGTTCAGTTCTAATAATCTCTATCTTCAGCGGGCAGAACTCATGACTGTGGGGCGCACAGACACACAGGACTGACTGCGCTAGGAACAAGGGGAGCACACAGCGCAAAACAGTGGTAAGAGAAAGAGGTGACTATGACTCTTTAAAAATTATTAAGAAAATAAATTTATAACCAGATCTACAGAATTTAGTCTGATGTATTTCCAAGATTTAGAAATAATCCTCTTTTTCTTAATTTTAAAGAGAAAAAAGCAAAAGCAAATAATAAGATCAAAGACAAAAACAAAGCAACATAACACAATAAAAATGGTGCAGAATTTCAAAACAATAATAGAAAATTAACAATGGTTGTTATATTATGTATTGTTTTCGTCAAATTTGTTGCTCAGATTACCAGAATTAGGCATGCAAGATTGATCAAACAATTAAACATTAACTCTTCCTTTTGATAAATCTTAATTTTTCCTTGTACTTTTTACTTTTTATTTTTTAATTTATTCTAAAGAGAGTATAAAAATAAAAGTAAGACATTAGAGATGATACACATTTAAAAGAACCAGATGAAAATATTCAACTGTAGTTGCTATATTGCACATCACTGTTTTCACCATACTTGCTCAGATTACAGATACTAGCATACAGAGTTGCCCACAGTATAAATTTTAAACATCAACTGCTAGCTTCACATGATTGATAGAAATTAGGAGTGAAACCATCTCAGCTATCCTGCAATCCGATCTGACATCTATATGTGTGTATATAAAAAACAAAACTTGCAAAATATATGACAACAGAAGAAGAAAAAATAAAGTGTGAAAAATAAAGGTGAAATTCCCACCTTTAAAGGGACATAGAGTCTATTAGGAGTGCGATGGTAGCCTAGAGACATAGCTCAGGTTGAAGAGATACACAGAAGATTTAGAAATAAGCCCTAGCAGGATTCAATATAACTAAATAGGGGAGCTCCCCAGAGAAAATCAACTAAAACTACAGGTCGTAGGCTAGGGAGAGACATACTTCCTGATGTCCAAATCAATCTGACATAAGAGACTTGTAGATTGAATAAAACTAGACATAGGATTTTGCAAAAGGCTACTGGTGGCGTTGCTGCAGGAGGCAGGACGAGACTTACAGCACCGTGGAGCCTCCAGATGGGTGGACTGCACCAACATGGCTAACTCAAGCCACAGAGGATGGAGTTGGGCAGCA